AATAGATTATCAGTTGGGGGAGTTAAATACTAGATTTCCATATGACACTGTGGAACTCCTTCGTCTTAGCTCATCATTGGATCCCCGTGATGCTTTCAAGCGATTTAACATTGATGATATATACACTCTTGCTGATAAATTTTATCCTCAAGATTTCACTACAACTGAGTTGCAGGCTTTAAATCAACAATTGAGATTTTATAAGATTGATATGGATCACAATCCAACCTTCAAGAATCTTGATTCCATTCCTATATTACTTGAGCGCTTAGTGGAAACAAGATTAGCACAAACCTACTACTTGATTGACATATTGATTCGTTTGGTGCTAACTCTTCCTGTTTCTACAGTTACAACAGAACGAGCATTTTCTTGTATGAGACTGATCAAAAATCAGATTCGAAACAAGATAGGTGATGAATTTCTTGCTGATTGTATGTTACTTCACATTGAAAGAAAATTTGTTGATAATATAGATAATTAATCGATAATTAATGATTTTAATTCTATGAAGACTCGAAGGGTGCAACTTATATAGTGTTATTTGAAAGGTAAGGCTCATTATGTCCCCCCCTTGAGTAGGTGTATTATTAATTTTTTGTTATCAATTAAATTACATCATATTATCGAGTTTTCTATCTACTTAGTATGTTTATATGTAAGGTAAATTTAGCCCAGTCAAGTTTGAAATTTTTGGTCCGTCTCTGCTCTACACAAGAAATTATCTCTGCAAACTTACGCCTAGGGACCTCCAAAGGCTTGTACAAGTTTGAGTACTCTAATTTAGTTTTTAAATTTTGATGGTTATACTTTTTTTTTGTGCGTCAATTTTATTAACTTTATTGTTGTTGTTAATATTAGGGATAAATCAGACAATTCACTTCACATTTTAAACTATTGAACGTTTAAAATCAAAATTAATAACTTGGGCAGGAGACAGAATTTTTATATTCTTAATAGTCAATAAGTTAAACTGTTTAGTTTCTCAAGAAAAATGCAATTTTTATTAATTATTTCTTTGTTATGTACAATTGTAATTAATTATTATTTTAACTAAAGCATAGTGTATATTTTAAAAAATAAGATAGCAACGTTCACATGCGAGGTTTGAAATATCCAACGACAACAATGATATTTTCTTCACCTTTCACCTTATTATAATATTTCTTACAATAAAAAATTAACGCATTATATAAAAGTTCCACATTGCACGCCATTTGCAGTGTCAAAGAAGGCCATCCTGATCCAGAAAATCCTTAAAATAATTAGGCAGGGTCCAAAGTTTGATAGAAATTTGGTTTTATGGCCCGCCACTTTACCAAGAAAAGTAGAAATTTGATAGAAATTTTCTCTCTCCTTCTCTTTTGGCTATTAGACTTTTTATTTCTCTTTTTCTCTTTGCCATCCGACAGCAGCAAGTTTCTCCCTCTCGTTTTTAAGAAAAAGAATGATGGGTCATCAATTAGTACATTGCCTTCTAGCACTTCTTTATCTACTCCAATATGTGATGAGCAAATTCTTCCCGAGTCTCTCATTGTCGAGCCTCCAATTAAAATTGATTTTTATATTGGTTCCTCCATTGATACACAAAATGCAATAATGGCTTAGTTGGGGGTATTTTAGGAATTAAAAAAGTACAATAAATTCAATTTTACGCTTAATTAGGTAACTTTCCGAGTTGGATCCTAGTCATTTAGGTAACTTTCCGAGTTGGATCCTAGTCATTAGGTTTGATTTAGAAAAAACAGGATTTTATTCAAACAAATTTTTGTTCGTACGTTGTGGGTGAAACATTTTTGTTTGAGAGAGGGTGGAATTGAAAAAATAATAATTTTTTCAATTCATAAATGAACTTTTCTCTCATCACAGCATGACCTTAGAGCATCTCCAACCAAGTCTCAATTAAAGGTTCGAGATAAGGCCTTAGACCATCTCCAACCATGTTGGGGCTAAACTCAAATTTTCACCCTCCAAAATACAACTATTCATGTATTTTCAGGACTCAAATTTTTTTTCTCTCCAACCTTGCAGACTCATAATTTGAGTCCGCAACTTTATTAAATTGTTTAAGAATGATTTACCCCTAATTTTTTTTTCTTGTTAATTTTTCTTGACATTATTTTTGTTTCAATACTCATGATTTAATTTTCTAAACATTTTAACCTAAAAAAATTAAAATTCCAAAACATAATAGAATTTCACTTAAAAATAAAAACAAGTACAACACCATACGTATGCCCGGAATAATTCGAACCCTTCATTGAACCCTTCATTGAAGCCATTGGTTGAGATAACTTTCAACACCCTCTACACAATGCCTCATCTTCTTGTGGTTTCCAATTCACACCTCTTTGGGATTTTGGGGCCATTCTCAACAAGAATGAATGTAGAATGAAAAATTATAGCAAAGGGAGAAAGGAAAACAAAGAGAGAAAGGAAAAAAAATAATTTTTGGTGGATTATTTACCAAATGAATGGCTATTTATAGAGTTTGGAATAAGTTTTGGGGTTGGATCTGACTTAGATTAATTATAAATATTAATTTGACCGTTGGATTTAAATTTGAGCCATTGGATGTGAAATTTTACCGTTGAGATTGCCTAAAATGAATCAGAATCGTTGATTTTATAGCTGTTGGAATATATAAATAAATAAAAAAATAAAAAACAGCATAACATTTGAATGAAAAACTAGCCGTTGGTGCGCAACAAAGGAATGGCAATATGCTTTTCCCACTTGTCCAGCGGGCCCCGCATCAATTGCCCATCACATGGGTGTCTGGCATTCAATAAAAAAATGTAAACTAAAGCAGATATTGGGCCCACGAATTTATCAGTCCAGGCGGAAAGCAGACTGGAATTCCAGTCCAGTTTTGACATTTCTCAAATTTTCACCTCCCAAAATACATGGGTTGGAGAAGATTTTTAGAGGATAAACTCAAAATTTGAGTTTCCACCCAAGGGTTGGAGATGGTCTTATAATTGACGTCCAAATGCTCAGCGTTATTTCCATTGTTTTCATTTTTTATTCATTCGTATTGGTCCCATAAGCTATGAATGATTGTTACAAATTCTAGCTTTCATTGGTCTCATCATATTATTTTATTCTTGATGGTCTCACTAGCTTTTATTTTTTGATGGTCTCTCGTTACCCTAATGATTTTGTGAATTTAATATTTTGAATTGAAATATCGGTGGCTTTGCTGTACAAGAAGAAAATAGGGAAAAAAAGAAGAGAGGAGGTAGGTTGGAGAAGGTGCCTGGGATTTTTAATTTTGGCCCCTCTCTTTGTTTTTCATTCAAGTGAATTATTGTTATACTTTGGAGTGCAATGGCCTAAGCTTTTTTGTATCCATCGATACATATACTGATTCTATTAACTTGAAGTTCTTGAATACAGAAAAATACTTTTGGATCCGAAGAAAAAAAGACCTCAGTTTTGTAGGATTCTTAGGGATATGTAAATTATTGTCTTCGTCTCTGAGATAGAAAACCTATTTGTATGCAACCGAAAACCTATTTGTATGCAACCGATTGTAGACAAGACAAATTTATGATTTATGATTAATAAAAAGGGAGATTCACTATTATACTCAATATATAAACCCATATTATAAAAAAAAAATCATATATGAAATGGACTTTAGAAACACACCCAAAGCCCATTTACAACATAACAAAAAGTATTTTAACTTCTTTTAAATTACAAAACTGCGATTACTTTCTTAAAACAAACTCAACCCCAAAATCTCATAAAAAAAAGTCCAAAACACTCAATAGGGCATCAAAGTAATTTAATAATCAAAATTAAATTAAATAGGGTCAGCTGTCATTTTTTGGGTTTGTTTATAGAAATTAAATGGTGTATGATTTATTTATAGTTTTGATGCTAAAATGGGTATATGACTAAATATATCTAATAAAGATGCTCCTCTTGTTCATATTTAATGAAACAAATAAAAAATTGCAGGCATGGTATTGTGTTCAACTTAAAAAAAACTAGTAGGTAGAACAACAAAAGAAAAATATCAAATTTGACATTGCGTAAAGAATAACCATATAACAGTCTTTTTTAATTACAAAATAATCAGAAATTATATCCAACGACAATGATATTTCCTTCACCTTTCACCTTATTATAATATTTCTTACAATAAAAAATTAACGCATTATATAAAAGTTCTATTTTTCACGCCATTTGCCGTGTCAAAGAAGGCCATCCTGAATCCTGATTCAGAAAATCCTTAAAATAATTAGGCAGAGTCCAAAGTTTGATGGCCTGCCACTTTACCTAGAAAAGTAGAAATTTGATAGAAATTTGTTACGAAAGTAGCTGCTCCCTGTAAAACCCATCGCCACCGTCAAACATGACACAGCCTCCACCATCAAAAACCCACGCCATAATCAAACCAACCACCACCACCTGCAGACCTGAAACAGCCTCCACCATCAAACTCTCCGCCACCACTTCCACAATTTGACATTCCCCGAGACACTTAGAGAGAGTTTGAGAGAGGTAGATATCTGAGATCAGAGAGAGGCTTGGTACCACGGCGGCGGCGAGACGAGGGAGAGAGAGTTTGTGTGTGTGCGTGTGTGTGTGGAGCTGATGGTAGTATTAGGATGATAGGCGTTGGTGGTAATTAGTGGTCAGTTTTGCACAGAGAGTGAAAAAGAAGAAGGAAAGTTACGACAATGAGGGGGTGTTTGTTTAGGGTTGAGGTGCGTTACCAGACGTGCCCTAAAGGAACAGGCCTTTGGTTTATTCTTCGTCATCATCTGAGATGGCCTTTTGTTTTGTCATATTTTCAACGAAAACAAATTAAATTTGGCATCTCGTTTGGAGGTGCTCTAAGAAAGCTTTTGGAATTACCGCCGTGGCGGGTTCAAACACTTGTTGCCCGACAAAAAGCTTGACTTGGGCCGCTAAAAGTTGACCTAACAGACAGTTTGTGGGGTTCTAGGCGTACAGCTCACCCTGTCATCATTAAATAATAACATATTTAAGAAGATTGAAAGCTAGTGGTATTAAAAAAAGGAAACAAGTTTTAAATTCTACAGATACCGAACGAACCCATTAGAATTAAAAATTATTCTATCACTTTGGACGAAATGCAGTAGGCCTTTTTCCTTTGAGAAACCCAAAGAAGAAAAGATTAGTTATATTACTGGTATCTCATCTGCAGGAAGGCCAGAATTCATCAACACCAAAGCTTGAGAAGACTGAAAATGGATCTTCAATCACACGAACAAGAGAGTGAATCGATTAAGCTGAATGAGAGGATCGAAAAACTAGGCAAAACAGTGACGCATCTGGAAACAACTATGATGCTGCTGGTGATGGGTTATATTTTCTTCCAGGGCGCCATATTCTCGTCGATTTTCCACAATCCCAGCAACATGTCGTGCGAGTATTGGTGGATTCCTTTCTCCCTCTCCGGTCTGATTTGCGTCATCTTCGCCATCCCATTTCAGTCTTATGTCAGAAATTGGGAGCGAACAAAACATTATTACTCCTCGACCTTTCTAAAGCAAGATTTGCTTCACCACAGGATGGTCACTTCCTCCTCAGTCGAAACCAGGATGCATGATATGCCGCAGCCGCAGGGAATATTGAAGAGCGATAGGGCACAAGTTTATCAGAGAAACGCATTCATATGCCTAGTTTCTTTAGCCCTTCTGGCCTACACCATCCTTATTTTGAAGGCATGCCGATCCATTCCCTGCCACGGAGATGCTACACCTTAGACATATATACATATGGTAAGTTCTCCCACTAATCCATTCATTTGACATGTAAAGCTGTATTATTCATCGATCCGGATCCTCTATTTGGCTTTTCTCTGCTAACTTCTCTTCTTCACACCACATGGCACTTCAGTTTTACTTTAGGGTAAGCCTAAAGGGAATTTATTTTTTATTTTTGGGGTAAGACACAAGAGTTACAGGTCAAAACCACGAGAACAGCCCCACCAGTAATATCAGACAGAGTTCAATACCTGGAGGGCTTCTCGAGGTACACCATCTACCCAAACGTGAGGTGAATTCATGATGGCCTATGTTTGTAGTAAAGTTTGGTTCTCTTAGGAGCTGCTTGAGGAGAAAAACTTAGTTGCAACCCGGATATCATGTTTTGTTATTCCGGTCAATAATAATGCTATGTCACGTGGAAGAGTTATCACGCGTGTCATAGCATTATTGATCGGGTATCTAACAAAATAGTGTTATCCCTATTTCATGAAAGTCTTTCTCTTGCTTGAGAGAAAGATGTATGAAACATGTTGCATGGAGTTTTACTTTGATTAGGGAAGAACAAAAAAAATTGCCTAATCGAACTAACCTCAAAGCATTTGTTGTAGCCGTCAGTCTCTCTTCTCTCTTGTTTCAATCTCTGCATCTCCCTTTTCCCTACAACTTGTGTAAACACATCTCTTCACAACTCACAATCTATCCTCTTTCCCTATGAAAACTAGCCCTTGCCAATTCCCCGAATTACAACAACTATGTTAACTTTCATCTCACAGTTTCCCCCTTTAAACCCTTGCACTTTTGTGATGGTTATACAATCTGAGTTTTCTTCAAAACACATAAAATTCTCAAATATGGAACTACTTACTGAAAAAGGCTTTTTATCGCAAATAGTTCATGAATACTAATAAAAGCCTATAAGCCATCTTTGTAGGTGTTCATGGTCTAAATGCTTACCAGCCCTTCATCTCCTACATATCTAAACTTTTGTTACAAAAGAAATATAAATTACCAATAATACAGTTAAAGTGGGAGAAAGAATGGGATTTTGGAGACTGATGCTTTGAAAAACTTTGAAAAACAAAAGGAGATAAGATCAAATGGTGCCAGACGTCAAATTTAACGTTTAGTCTTTGCCTTTTAAGTTTTATTTATTTTTAATTGCGTAGGGTATTATCTTTTATTTATTTATTTAAGTGTGACGTGTTAACTTTTTGTTTATTGGATGAAATATAAATGAGGTGCTATATGAAGAAGATAAGTTAAATTAGAGGATCAGATACCAAATAATATTTTTATACTAATTACCACTTACTTTCTTTAGTGTGAGAACGCGCCGTTCGGTAGTACCGAACCGAAGACTTTTGTTGTGAGGGTACCAAATAAACCAACGACGGCAAGGCTATTCTCGAAACTTTCCTTGGTGCTTCGTTGCTGATGTAATATTAACCCTTACAAAGTTACTTTGCTTTGTGGTTAATTTGGGCTTAACGCCCCATCCCCCAAGCCAAACTTAAAAGGAAGAAAAAAGAAGAAAAAAAACCCTGGTCATTTGAGTATTCTGATGTTCATCTTTTGGGGTTCGCTTGTAAATTATTTAATTTGATATGAATTCATGTATTTTCATATAAAGTCAGATTTGACCACTTGTCGTGTTTTGAATTTTATCAGGTGAAATTACATGGGTTAGACCAATTGGCAGGGCTGTGATCCCGGTCCTGAATCCCTCTCTTTGTAAATTATATTAATTTATATTAATTTAGATTATTATTTATATTTTTTGTATATATATATCATGTGAAAAGTATTTCAAACACAAACCTGACCCATTAACCTATTATATCCAAATATATGAATCTAAACTCATGTCTTGTTTAACCTTTATATAAGCTACAATTTTATAATACAATAAAAATCCATATCTAGTCTATTTCACAAACAAATGTCAAAACATGTTACCCCAAAAAAATGTCCAAAACGAAAAATAACTTCTAAGCTTACAAAATGTTTGAATAAAAAAGATCAACTACATATAATCCTCCGAATTTTGAGGGTTATTTCAAATTGGTATCCCAATTTTATGTTGAAATTAATATAATTTTGAGAGAAATATATACTCAAATATGCTATTACACACGCCATACATATATATACTCAAAAATTGTTTATTTCATAAACAGAATATCAAGAGTACAGTAGAACAAAATAAAATCTAAAAAATGAAAGTACTCTAAGGCAGCTAGCTGCAAGCCTAATTATAATAATACACCAAAATTCCTATACCTAATTATCCTTCAAGTCAAGTTCTCCATATGTATACAGAGCTATACATTCATCATCACCAATTTTCCTCTGCATTTCTTCAACTTTTACCACTATGAGTAGCTTCTTTAGTACAATTTTCTCCTAACAAGACCTACATCTAGTACTCCTCATCCAAGCCTTCCTCTCATCCAAACATACAATTGATGCACAATTGAAGTCTACTCCATCATCCCTGTAAATAAATCAAAATGACAAAGAAAAAAAGGCTAAGATTACACAAGCCAAAAATATAATAAAACAATTTAACCATGCCCAACCTTGTTAGCAGGCCTTGAATTTTCCCAAATTGAACAAATGAAGAAGGTTAGTATTATCATCTAATCTTAGTCCTAGTTTTAAGGTTAATGCTTTATCATCTAAACTTTGTTGATTGAACAGTAGAAATCTATACTATACATAAAACAAGAATGATCAGTTAACAAAACAAAAACCCAAAATAGATCACATAAGTTATACCTGTAATTTCGTGATGTCCCACCCAAAAAGTAATTTAAGCCTACAATTGGAGATGTGCCAAACATTAAGTAGAACTTCATTCAAGGCCATAAGCACTAAACAGAAGGCAAACAAAAGGAAAAGAAAAAAGCAATGTACTTTGAGAAGAAAAGGAGGACCAGGATAAATAAGAAAAACTTGCACAGAAAAAGGCTAAGACATATTCAAAGTACCACAATGATCGGCTATGAACTGTGAAAAATATATGAAAGAAAGCTATCTCAGATAGACAATTAAACTAAAGAAATCCAAAATTAATGTGCTAGGTTCAGTTCAAGTGTACCATAGTAACCATAATATGATATATCTCACTTTTATCTTCTTCTTCTTTTATTTTTTATTTTGGTTGTTAACAAGCAGCAGAAAAGTGAAAACAAAAATAACCAAAAATGAGAGTGGGTTTCCGAATGCAATTCAAGTGTACCATAGTACCATAATATGATACCATTTTTCTCATTTTTTATAAAAAAAATTCGAACTTTTGTTTTTAACAAGCAGCAGAAAAGTGAAAACAAAAATACCCAACAAAGAAAGTGGGTTCTGGAATGCAAACTGAGTACTTGAAAATGAATCTAAAGACAGAAAAATAGGGAGAGAGAGAGAGAGCTTACAGATAAGGTCCCCAAAAATGAAATCATATTTGACTTCTGCTAATAACGAAACCAACAAACAAAGGGAACATGAATGAACAACACTCAAATAAGAGAACAGGTTATATCTACATGTGCACATACCCACACACAACAAAAGACTCCCTATCCAACTTGCTTTCCCAAATTCATGACCATGCATTTTCACGGGAATTCCATTATTTCTGCTGCAATTGATGCAGTGTGACAGGTAGACAAAGACACAAAAAACAGGACTTTAAAAGCTTCAGACAGAAAATCAAAACCAAAATCTCAATCAACAACAACAGAAAGGGGAAAGGGAAAAGGAAAAGATCAACAGATTTTGTGTTACAACCTATGAAGATCTATACTCTATGAAACAAAAATGACAGGAAATAGAAAATAATTAAAAAAAAAAGCAAAATAAATCGATATAAATAAAAAAACAGAAGCACATATACACTCACAACCTGACGTCGCCAGACTTGGACCCAAGAACAGAATCGTGATCACACAACGATGATCCAACTCGTAACCACCACCGATAAGCGTCGCTTGCAAATCTCTGAAATCGCCCAAACAAAAGTCAAATAAAGACCAAAATGAAACCTCAAATTTACCAGAGAACGGGTCAACAAAGAGAAGGCGAAGCCTGGAAGAGAAGAGCTAGTGGGCTCGAGAGAGGGGAGATCGCGAAGATTGTGGAGGTGTCCTCGTGAAGATCGTGAGGGCGATACTTTTGGCGACTTCGGTAACCTGGACTCAAGGGATATGACGACCTTAGGATTGGGCTGGATGCCGAGATCTGGAACCTGGATGGCAAACTTAGTGACCTAGACGGCGCGATGGAGATGGTGTTTCAGCGATGAGAAAGGGAGTTGAGAGAGAGAGGGTTTCTAAAGGTCGTGAGAGACGGGTTTGAGATAGAGGGTTTCTAAACTGAAGTGAAACTTAAGTGAATTATTTGTCCGCCGCGTTTTAAAGCACGACCGTTTTTAATAACGACCCGTCGTAATTTTTATGAGGGCCTTTTAAAAACACGACGCTTTTTAGTTTTACTGTCGTTAAATAAGTGTCGTAGTTTTCCATTTTTGTAGTAGTGCCAGAGAGACATAGACGAATTGGTTCATAAAGGAAAACATCTAAGTACTGGCATATAATAGTTTTTTTAGAATTTCAGTATGATTTTTCAAAATTATAGCCATCATACTTTCTTAAGATCACGATGTGATGGTTATACAACCTGAGTTTTTTTATTATTAATTGTTAAGTTAGTCTCACGAAAAAAAAAAAGCCATGTGGAGCCTGGTCAGAGCAAGTGGGTAGTCTAATCGACATTTGGGATCGTGAAGTATGGTGGTGTGACCCCATGAATCATGGTAAATCTCGACCGCCGCCCTGATCGTGGGTTCTGCGCACCTGGCCGTGGGGACGCATTTAATGCCCTTGTTTGGTAGTTGGCGATCTGACCTCAATTTGTAAGAATATTTGTGAGCATGTTGGCGCCTAACCACTCTGATTTCTGTCACCAAATCCTGACTTTAGTCACTTCCCTTCTTCCCTCGTGCATTAAATGTCCTTTTTGCGGCTAGTGGGTTTGCTAGTCAGAGGCGTTACTTCATTAAATGAAGCGTGGGACCCTGCTGCTATGTGACGATTTGACTCCTAATATCTTCGGCCGTGTCCCCTTCGTCCCTCGGCCTCGGCCTGACGATACCGTGTTCGCAAGGCCGAGATGACTATGCCCTCGCAACTTTTCCTTTGTTTTGAGGAAGGTAAAAGTGCTGCATTTTGGATCGCGAACAGGTGCTGAGGCCGAGGGGGAAAACCCCTTCGGTCAGCGCACTACCGTGATTTATCAGGCACAAACATTGCCCCCACATCCCCGGATTCTTCGGTCTCGGCATGGGTAGTGGCCGAATGGATTCCAGGGGATGGACCCTTTGCATACCTTCTGAAGTGATTGACAACTGGTGCATTAAATGCGCAGGGCAGTCGGCGCATTTAATGCCCAAGCATGTCGTGCAGGCCATCATTGCCCAGGCTTACGCGAGGCGTCGCTTCGCCTCGTCAAATGAAAGGACGGCCTCTGGGCTTCCGACACGTCATCGCGCCTTTTGAGCACGCTGTCAGATCGTTGCGTCTCTCGAGAGAGCTACGCCCTTTCGTTTCGATTTCTAGCGCCAATATAAAAACCCATACTTCTTCGTTTCTTCTTTACGCTTTCAGAATTCTCAGATGCCCAAGCCTTGTCAAAGTTCTCTCTCAATCCTTCAATCCTACCAAGCTCTCGAGTCTCCAAGTTTACCAGAGAATCTTGCCTGAAACCACGACTCTCTTTCACTCTTGAGTTTTGACTTTTCAAGAACCTACAAGTTCTCAGCCTTTCTTGGGTTTTCTTTCGGTTTTCTTCGCGTTCATCGACTTTTCTCTGCACTTTCCTTCCAAACACCCAACCTCGATCTGTCTCAATGGCCTCCAGCACCACTACATCTGTTGAAGCTCGATCCCAAGTCTTTCAGACTGAGTTTGAAGATATTTGCCGAGAAATCCAGGACTCGGTCCTACCTAACATCATCATGCCCTGGACTGATGATGACGGCGTTGCCACTGATTCCCGCGTCCTCGGCTCCTCTGTTGATGGCGGAATGCCAGAGAGGTTAGTGGCCCATTTAAAAAACAAACTGGTGGACCTCTCGGCCTTCGACGGGGGGTACTTCCAAGATTGGAATGTCGCCAAGCCGCAGCCCCAATAGCCAACCTCGACCCCGGACTGGGAGAAATGGCTGCCGAGGATGGAGCATTTCTTCGGCCAGCAATGGAAGGATCAAGGTATCTACCACTTGATCAAACTGTTCGATCGGCCGCTCGTTATGGATCGGTCGCTCTTGGCCGCGGCCCTATGCTTCTGGTCGTCGGCCACCAACACCATGAACTTTCGGTTCGGCATGATGACGTCGACTGTTCTAAACATGGCCGCCTTGTTTGGCCTCTCTCCTCTTGGCGCAGAAGTGAACGCCGCACTCGTTGCTCCCAAGGTGGAAGGGAGTTTTAAAGCCACGTCGCCTACTCTTACGAGAGTCGCCGGGAGCAAGGCGAAGAACATGCTCAACTACTCTAGTTTTTACAGCAACTTCGTTTTAGAGGATAGCGCCGAAGACGACGACATCGCCCCCCTCGGCGAAGTTGAGCATGCTGCATTCCTGCTGTACTGGCTGTGCAAGTTTGTATTCTGCACCCAGGCGAACAAGGTCTCCCTGGAGTTCGCCCATCTGGCTGATTACCTTGCTCAGGGCGGAAGGCTAGCACTTGGCCCCTTCCTTCTCGGCCACATCCACCGCACGCTTCACGACATCGTCACCGATGGGATGAAGCCGAAGCACGGCGGTCCACTATGGGCCTTCCAGTTTTGGCTGCAAGCTTACTTCCCGGAGCTGAGGGGGGTGGCCAATATCACCGACACCGAGCCATTGGCCAACGCATTTGCCCGAGCCCCCAGGAAGCATAACACCTCGGCCCTCTGCTACAAATTTTTCTATGGCTTGGTCGAGAGAACTGGCACGCAGTTCCGCGTCTGCCTCGCTCGGCCATTCCCTCTGTTCCTGGCACACGACCTCTCCGTCATTCCTGATGGTGAGACGAAGGACGACTTGAAGGATATCTGGGGCTCCTTCCTAGTTACGCGCGACCTTCACTGCGGCTTGTCCAAGGCCGGGGCCGAGGTTTATCTGCCAAACTTCGTGGCGCGGCAATTCGGCCTGATCCAGATGGCCCAACTTCTCTCGTTGTCAACCAACCGGCTCTCGTCTTGGAGGGCCGATGTCGCCCAGCAGCACGTCGTAGCTGGCATTTCCTTCCAACTCCAAAAGGGGATGACCTTCCTCACTCTGACGCCTTGGTTGCGTCGTAATGCTTATGACGAGGATGGAAGGGTCTGGTACGAGGAGTGCATCTCGACCAGATTTATTCGGCCCGTTGAAGAACGCTGATTAGGACCCCCTCCCACCCAAGGGTGGCAAGGGGAAGAAGGCCTCAACCGTGCCTCCTCGACCGAGTACCCTGGCCGCGGCCGTACTCAGGGTGACAGCCCCTCCTTTGGCCGGAGCAGCGGTCGTGACTTCAACCGCGATCCCAACCTCCAGAGCGCCGACTGTGGCGGGGGTGCGAAAGACTCTGGCGCACAGGACCGTGCCGTCCTCTCCACCGGTTCAATCGAGCGCTGCTGCTGGTAAGCATTCCCCCCTCTTCTCTTTTATTATATATTTTATTTTCTTCGACTTCCTTGGCCCACCTTTGCCCTTGTTTATTTTACCTTTTACCTCTTTTGCCTCTTTCTCTTTGTATACACAGCCCTGGGTCACAAAAGGAGTCGAGAGGCTCCAAGCACTGAGGCCGTAGCGGTTGAGGCCACACCAGCCGGGAGTATTGCGGTCGAGACGGCAGCGTTAGAGCGGCCGAGGAAAAGGACCCTCCTAGTTCTCTCGGAGGGCGAGGATGAGGAGGAAGTCCCTCCTGTGATTGTTAGTGAAGCCCCTACTGTGGCCGTGAGTAGTTTTCCCTGATTTCTTCTCTCCTCTTTATTTCTTGGGTCACTCCTCTTCTCCTCTATATATTTTGATAATCTGGTTCTTTTCTCAGGACGAGGTAGTGGTCGAAGAGGGAGCTACCGCCAAAGAGCTGAGTGTAGAGGAAGCGACTGCTGCCAAGATAGTGGTCGAGGAGGTGGCCGCAGCTGAGGTGGTGATAGAAGAGTTGGGCGCCGCGGAGGCGGCGGTTGAGGGGGAGGCCACTGCCGAGGAATTGGTTGAGGAGGGGGCCACTGCTGAGGTGGCAGAGATGGTGGACGCCGAGTCAGCATCCGCAGAAGTACCTGTTGCTGAGGGGGGCGCCGTGGATGTGCAAGACGACGAGATCATCGTCGTGGAATCAATGCGGACCGCCCCAGTGGAAATCATCTCGGCTGCTTCTTCCGTGCCTTCCTTGGCAATTACCGCGTCTGCCGAGCCGTTCCTGTCCACTCCTCGTCATCCAAGTGGCATTGTGTTCGTCTCGGTAAGCGTTTGCTTTCATTATACTTAGCTTTATTTTTAGAATTGCGCAACATGCTTCTGACCGAATTTTTGCTTCCAGCCCCCCGTCGTCGCCGCCGCTGTCCATGGTTGCTGCGACCATGCCCCCAGCGCCGTTGTCCCAGGACTCGACGGTTGTAACCGAGCTGGCGGTAACTGGGGCCACGGTCGTGAGTGTGCCGAATCCCCCGCGAACTACTTCGGCGGTCCTGACCGAGCTTTCGGTTGCAGAAGTTCCTGCCCCGCCGCTCACCGTTGTTGTG